TGGTGGGTTTGGCACCTTAGTTCCATCTGATGGTGGTGGTGAGGAAGGTTCGAGCTGGTGACTGGGGCTCACATCACACGGACGTACAATACTCCATGCTCTTAAAGCAAACCTGTCACAAGCCTAAGCAATTCAGACTTCAAATGAGATTCAAAAGGGTGCAAGCCTAGGATCCCTTTAGTGGAAACAATCCATTGCTCCAGAGATATAGGCAGCTACATAGGCAGCTATAGGCAAATCTTGATTCTTTACTGCGAAAGTCAAGCATTGCCCCACCAAGTGCAGGACAGGGTCATGTAGTGTGAAGAGGCCAAACTGTGATCCCCCTTTCACTCATTTTTATGACGCATTGTGGGTCCTTTTAAGATAAGAAACTATTTAAAACATTTTAGTAAGTCAAAACAGAATTTAAGCAGTCCTGCTCTCTGCCCTTGTCCCAGCACATTTACTGTGCAATTAGGGAGTGTAGTACACATGTAGTATGCAGCAGTGTATACATGTGTTTAGATGTAGCAGTATGTGGCAGTATGATTGGTGGTAGTGTTTAAGAGTCATGTGACCTTGGAGTGAAAAACTAGCAGACCACACACACAGCGCACTCTTCCTCCCCTCTTACTCTTGGTCTTCACCCACTCCCAATGCACAGACCTGGCTACCTCCTGTTGCTGCCCCGGCCTCCCCCATCTGCTCTTCCTCCTTTCCTGGGTCCTGAGCTCCTATGGCCCGCCGGCACCCAGCTCCCCACTTTTTTCAGCCTGCCCCAGCGCGGCCTTATTTGTCTGCTTGCTGGGTGCCACTGTCATAAGGGAGAGAGTGCATGGCCAGGCTGCCTCAATGGAGTGTAAGAGAGTGGAGAAATGAAGAAGGGAGAAGATGGTGGCTCAACAAGATGGTTTCAATTAAGCATACAAACAATAACATGCAAGGGATAAGGAGGAAGCAGCTTGCTACGCCCCCCGCAGGAAAACACTGCACCCGGGGCAGCTGGACCTCCTTAATCCCCTCGTCTCTATCCTCCCCCCCATTCCAAGCCTCCATAATGATCAATAAAGGAAATCATAAAAATAAAGAGCCTATGAGAGAGCTTGGACGTGCAAAAAGTTGGGGTCAATATAGAGTTTTAGGTCATCTTCACACCTATGCCCATCTGTTGTAGAATGTGTTGGACATATTAATTCTGCACGCAAGTGATATAGAGGAAGTAGCTTGCCGCACAACCACATAAAAAACACTTCACCCGTGGAAGCTGGACCTCCTTAATCCCCTCGCCCCTGCCCTCACCTCCATTCCAAGCCTCCATAATGGTCAGTAAAGCAACTCATTACAATAAAGAATCAATAGGAGAGCTTGGACTTTGGAAAAAGTTGGGGGGCAAGATAGTTTTAGGTTAGCTTTACACCTTGACCCATCTGTGGACACGTGCATTGTGCATGTGTTTAATGGGCCCCCAACACACATCCACATGGTTAACAATGACACCTGACCCAATATCACAACACACGACACATAGCACATGTGAAAACACATTATTTTTCTATTGGGGGCGGGAAAGAGTCCAAAATACTTTTTGGTGCATGGACATATAGGAAATGCGTGGGAACAGTTACCACTATGCATGTGGTCCATCAAGAAATGCACCCACATAGGTGTAAATAGAGGAACAGGGAGACTTATATATAAATGTATCTGCCTCCATCTCTGGAACCAGTGTTAATGAATTTTACCACCGGTAACCTCCAATGAGGTTTTTGTTTGCATATTTCTCAGGTTTGTGACAAGTTATATTAAGCTGTTTCCCTGCCACCATCTAGGAAGGTGTCTGGTGTTGTCTACGTATTTTTTAAGAAAGTTAAAGGCTTGGCAGTCAATTCTCAAGAAAACAGACTTCAAATAAAGACGGTAAAAGGGGCCCAGTGCACGCAGGCATCAGCTTGTAAATGCCAGACTGAGGAGAATTATATTCAGTAAGCATGAACAAAACATTGCGCAGGACTCCAGTCTGGGAGGGCCAAGTACAGGAAACCCGTACTGAGAGAAATACAAGGTCAGTCACTGTTGGCTTTAATACTGAACGGCATCTCAACGATTCAAATCAATGGGCAGCCTTAACCCAATGCATGTGTGCATTTCATGCTTGTGTGCTCCTACCCTTAGTGACCCAGAAAGAACGGAGGATCAGCATTAAAGGAGAACTATGAGGGGGGGGGGGAGTGCTTTTCACTCACCTCATAGTTCTAGCCGACCTGTGACAATGAGACTGTCACAGGTCGGCTCAGTAGATCGGGAGGTGAGCGAACACATACCGGCGCTCGCTCACTTCTCGATCCTGTCACGGCACAGAGCCGGGGACTGGATTCTCCCCCCCCCTCCCCAATCCTCCAGCGCTGACTGGCGGAACGGACGGGGGAGGGAGCGGGTACAGCTGGCTCTGCCTCTAGATAGGCAGAACCAGCTGTCACTCACGCAGCTGGGCGGATCCCGGAATAATTGTCGGGATCTGCTTCAGCTGCAGAGTCTCAATATACCGCGAGCTGCAGCTTAGGGTGACGGGAGGACGCTAGTTTGTGTCCTCTCGTTACCCTTAGGGGAACTATGGGGAAAAGCCCTAACCCCATAGTTCTTCTTTAAGAACAGGCAACACACATTTTGAGAGGGAGAGGTCATCAATGGAAGTCTCCATACTCCCTCAGTGTAGGTTCCTTTTAAAGCTGATACTGAGAAACCCAGGGTCAATACAGTTCGAATGGCACCCTAATATACAGTACGGTAGTGGGCAATGCACCAGCACTGCAATAATATATGTGTGGCCCCTGATTTTACCACAGTGCACCTTAGTGTATGGTAACATGTTGCATTATCGCAGACGTGTTACCGAATTTAGAGGGGAACTCAATGAAAACCTGTCATTAGAGAAACACGGAGACTGCCATTGCTAAGCTCTCCAATAAATGCAAGACTGCCGACTGTCATGTGAAGACACTTGCTGCAAAGCTTTGTATCACTGACCTAGAAGAAGTAGGCGCCTTTCCTGACTTAGAAGCCAGAGAGTCAGCATAATAGCCAGACAGCTCCTGTGTTTTATGACAGGTTCACTTTAGGAGATTGTGTTTCCATATGGTGCTCAGTAACGACATTGACATTTCTTGCTTACATTCCCGAAGAACTCTCGGGGCTACAATGTCTAGCTCCGAATCTGTAGTGCAAATGTGAGTTAAAGGCAAAGTCCACCCAACACTTATTTATTTAAACTGGGTGGATTGCAGCTGCCATTATTTCTCTGGCACTCCAGATAAAAGATCTCTGTGCTAAATAACCTGGGCTGTGCCCTACATAGAGGTCAGGTAGGGACAGTGACACATTACTTTCTTCTAAAATCCTCTCGAGTGCTCCTGGATTTCCCCTATGCTAATTAGAAATGTTGGGCTGGTTGCCCTGAATGGAGATAGTTCACCAAACATAAAGTAGGACAGTCATTGGCACCTGGTGGGCATTGTAAAACTACCTCCTCCCCATTCAGACCTGCGAATACAGCGGTTGCTATAGGGAAGTCTTCCAGCACCGACTTCCTCTGCGGCTCAGAGATGTCATGTGACAGCTGCAAAGGAAGCGGACGTTTGAAAATACATATGCCCCTAGCATGAAAGGGCCACTTGGTTACGTTTGCTCCCCAGACCAAAGGTCCCCAGTCCTCTTCTGTCCCAATACCCAGATGTGAACAATATACGGAATTGGGAGCTGAATCAGTTCCAGCACACCCTTCATATGCCCCTAGCATGAAAGGGCCACTTGGGTGTGTCTGCTCCCCAGACCAAAGGTTCCCAGTCCTCTTCTGTCCCAATACACAGATGTGAACAATATACAGAATGGGGATCTGAATCAGTTCCAGCACACCTCCTCTCCTGTCCCAATACCCAGATGTGAACAATATACAGAATTGGGATCTGAATCAGTTCCAGCACACCCTTCATATGCCCCTAGCATGAAAGGGCCACTTGGGTGTGTCTGCTCCCCAGACCAAAGGTCCCCAGTCCTCTCCTGTCCCAATACCCAGATGTGAACAATATACAGAACGGGGATCTGAATCAGTTCCAGCACACCCTTCTGCATCCCACAATCCAATGAACAGAGAGCCCTACGGATTACTATCTTTGGTCAGCTTGGTATGGAAATCCAGCTCAAAACCTTATTTTTTTACTACGTCTTAGATGGAGTGGGGAAAGGTTAGAACTACTATAATAAAAAGATTTTGGCTGAAGCCACTTTAACAACTTCTGGGAGAAGGCGTGTGCTTCTATTAGTGACTCAGACAGTTTTCATGCTACATGTCTGTGACGAGGCACTACCAAGTTGGAGGAAGTGTGTGTTGGGTACTGTACCTGGCAGCTTTCTGCAGTACCGGGCATTATTCTAGCATGGCACTAGTTTTTCTTCATTACATCCAATACCAATACTGTCCTGTGAACTGTCCCGGCAGTCGCACTGGCCTGCATTAAACATGATTCTATACACTCTGCATCCCGAGATCTAGAGAGATAAGCAGCTGGAATATGAAAGGATCCACCTAATACTGAAATAGCAGACCTGGAAAGTCTTGCGTGTTAATCTGGGTTAGATTCCAGTTGGCCCCTGCTTACCTCCAGTAGACGTGCTGGTTAGTGTTCTGTGGATGTAAAGCTTATAAACAGTGTTGATTTGCCTTTCAGGTTAGTGTTAAATGTGAAAATAAAACACTGTACAGAATTATCTCAAGAATATCAGTAGGACCCTTTTCGGTCCGTTTCCCAGACTCCCTTGCTACAGTTGAGCACGGGTTGCAGTACTCGTTATTAGGAGTGTCTTCTTTTCCCTTGGTGGGGAGATTTGGAGCAGTTAAAACACCCATGACGTACCCTAAGGTTGCTTATACAGCAAGGAACATCAAAGCTCCTTCTGTTTTCAAGGCATCAGTCTTTCCACAGCATCAAAGGAGATCCCAACATGGATGGCCTCCTTATGAGCGTCAGCCTGCCTTCTGCCCTGTGTTATTCCTCTTCTGCAGGCTCAGGGGGTGTATCAGAAGTGGCTCCATTGGTTTCTACCCCTTCTTCACTGTCAGAGCTGACGGAATTTCTCAGGGGCCGTAAGAAACAGGACTTGTGGGGTGAATGAGGATAGAGGGCGTCTTGCAAAGCTCCCAGAGGGCGAGAAAGAAGCTCTTCATCTGAGGAAGGAAGCGAGTCTTCATCCTCTCGTCCTGAGTGGGAGGAGAGGTTCAGTTCATCGAAGGCTATTTGGTCAGAATAAGGTTTGTGACCTCGATGAAGGAGAATCTGTGGAGATTGAAGAGCCATCAAAAACAGTTTATATTTGCAGCGTTCAAGGTAAACAATTTTTCAGATCACGAATACTCCTGATTAAAGTAGGTTTGCATCTTTGTGTGTGTGTGTGTGGGGGGGGGGGGGTTAGGCCAGGGATAAGGGGCAAGTTGCACTCATCCTTTAAAGCAATTATTTTTTTTTAGGAAAATAAAATTGTCCAAAAATCTCTCCCTGCAAAGGAACAAAGTAAATACTTACCTCTCCCACCGCCTGTCCTGCCAAATGCCGCTCCGTAGAAGAGAAATCTGAAGTCCATTCAGAAACAAACACTTCTGAGATTACTGGTCTGCTGTGTGTCTCTTGCCACGTGGTGGATCCTTCCACCTAGAGATGCACCAATACCAATACTAGTATCGGTGCCGATGCCGAATATTTGGGCGAGTGCTCGTACTCACCAAAATGCTCTGATGCCTAGCCCGATACCTGAGCTTCCGGTATCAGGAATTGACCGGGAAGCTGGCGCCATGCTCCTTTGTCACTTGATGGTGAGGAAGCTTGGAGCCGGCTTCCCGGACAATCAGGAAGCAGGGCAGCGTGTAATGACTTGGCGCCTACCTTCCCGATTTCACATTTTCTCCAGAAGACGTGCATCTAAACTTCTGTTTTTAACCTTAGCGGTGAGACACGTTTTTTTGCAGGCTGGCTGGTGAGTGTGCTGGGAAACGTTTTGCTGTTGTACCTTCCTGATTGGTCGGGGAGGCTGGCCAATCAGGAAGCCAGATGGCGAGTCATTACCCGCCCCCGGCTTTCTGATTGGCCAGAATGCCGGCTCCATGCTTCCTTGTCACCTGGTGACGAGGAAGCATGGAGACGGCTTCCCTGCTTATCAGGAAGCCGGGTGGCAAGTCATTACACGCCGCCTGGCTTCCTTAATGGGACTTCCGGTATCGGTATTCGGTATCGGTGAGTACAGGAAAAAAAAAATATCGGTACTCGTACTCGATACCGAAGAAACAATATTGGTGCATCCCTACTTCCACCTATCTCCAAGCCACTGTAGGACACAGTAGGGACATGGAGGTCGGTGAGAGGAACCACTGTGCGCAAAGTGGAAGAATTTTTTACTCTCTTCTTTTGCAGGTGGATCTTTTAGGTGAATGGAATATTCCCAACCAGGTTTCTTTAAGCTGGCTACTCACTAAGATGATCGTCACCTGACCTGTCCATTTTTGTTTGGATAAGACTGCACTCAGATCACTATAGTTGCTGCAGATAGCAGTCAGCCAGTCGCTCCTGGGGAGGAAAAATCAATTCGGTAAAACTGCTAGCCAACTGCAAATGCTCATGTGACAGCAGAGGGTCAGACTGCCCATCCGATCTCCCTATGTCTACAGCCGGGAATACTGTGAAACCTGATAGGTTGTGTCTGATGAGTGCACATTGGTTTCTTGTGATACAAGCTCAATTCCAACAGAGCTTTCATTAGTGACAAGAAGATCCATTGATTGCTTACTCGCAAAATGACTGCTGAGCACAAACAGTTGCTTAGAAGATTTCTTCTTGTAACTCGCTCACATCTAGCACAATTGTATTCCCCCTCGAACGCATGTTCAAGGAACGCATACATTGCACATGGTTGCATACCCACTCATGGAAGACATTATTTTATTCCACCCTTACTATTTATTTATTTTTATTTTTAATGTATATTAGGGATTATATAAGATTAATTGTTGTTTCCCTTCTCTTTGCTGCTCTTCCTTTTAAATCCTCATGTCTTCTCATGCGTGGGGAGAACTTACCTTTGCAGCTGAGTGCCTCTTCCTGTAGTGCTGGCTCAGGTTGTGAACCTTCACACAGACACCAAGTATCCATTCCAGAGACAAGGCAGTCTGCTGCAAAACAGAAGTTCTACCCAGCATGAGAAGAGATACGGATTTAAAAGGAAGAGCAGCAAAGAGAAGGGAAACAACCATGAATTACAGTAAGGCGCACATTACAGTATTGTTTTATGTTAAAAAATCTGAGGGTTTAATGTCGCTTTAAGAATAATTGTTTCCACTGCTTGGCACGCACTGTTTTTTTATGGTTGCATCCCAGCATGACACTTCTAAGCAGGCTGGAAAAACTTTGCAACCAATACTCAAAATTGTTGCTGCTTTGAAGAGACAATTACTGCTCATCTGCTACGCGTATGCAGTACCCCCATGACCCCCAGAGGCGGGGGAGAGACCCAAGCACGGTGGGCTAGTATTTCACTTCAGGGGTAAGTCTTTGGCTGGTTGTGGGGTGTGAATACAAGTTGGGCACCAGTCACCAAATTGCTCAAATGGACAGAGGGGTAAGATACCCAGATACTCCACTCCGAGCTTTACAGAATGAAGACCTTCAAGCCGAGACCAACACTTCTGTAATTCAGCAGCTCGTGAATAGAAGGCTTTCTCCTAAGTCAGTCGCCACATTCCCTGCAGGGTTCCAGCAGCAGAACTTCTCCTCTGGCACTCCAACTTGAGTAAGGCTCTCCTTGTACCTGGGGCAAGCATGAGACCCAGCTCTAGGTCTATCTTCCACATACATGTAGGCCTAACCTAGGCATCAGGCCTAGCAGGACAGCAGAACTAGCAAAGCCCCTCCCCATGCCCAGGACCTGGGAAGGACTAAAGACCAAAAGATCTCCGACCATGGTTCACCTCAATATTTATACCCTTCCCCATCATGTACCACTGGTAACAAAACTCCTAGTGTTGGCTAGCGAAAAAAATAAAAAGATTCACAACCTGGCATTACTGGCCCTCCCAACTCTATTACCAGAGACACTCGCTGGTGGCAGGCAGGAGCAGTCAGTCTTAACCAGGTTTAGGGAAACCACCAAGTGAATCCAGAAGAATCTATCAATTCACCACCAGCTGGACACAGCCAGGGAACGCTAACTTTGATGAGACACTCCTGCTTAGGGCAAGGTGGCTACACAACTTGAACTTGTAAAGCAGCACTCAAATCTTTCTCACACAGAAGCGTATGCAGGATGGTATACACGGGATAGGGATCCAGTATCTGCCAAATGCCTCAGTCCCATCGACTTCCACTGAGGAGGTTTCTTGAAGGGCTTACCTCATGCCTCAGCTCTTCAATGTGATCCTTCAGTTCCCGGATGTACTGCGAGGAGTCTGAATCTTTTAGTTTTCCCTGTATCATCCCTTCTTCTTTCTGAAAGGTAAAGTCCAGAGAATTTCATAAATGAGATTATGGCATGTGGGAGAAATCTGTGTGAATGAGGCATGAGAAAAAAAGACTCAAGCTATACAGTAGATGGATGTCACCGTGTGTATAGTATGTGAGCAGTCATAAAAGATCTTGTCAGAAGTCCATCAGGCAGGTTAGGTAACCTGTATGTATGTCTGAAGGATCTCATTTATCCAAGTCACGGTACAGCTGGTGGTAGTTGGTCACGTTTAACTGGACTTCCCAACCATACAAGGCACATTCGCCAACATTTATACCCCCAGAACAAAGGGAACATACCCAGGCACCCCACATTTTATTTTAGTGTTGGATAAAATGGAGAGGGATTAGAATCTGTGTCAGGTTCACTGGGTGAATCATTTGTGAATGAGAGATCCTAGGTCCTAGGTCTATGATCTGGTGAAAATGGGGAAAAAAATGATGAGATATCTAAAGACGGCTTATCATATAAAAGTCCCACCTGAATCTCCAGATCGGCTATCCGCTGACGCATCTCAGCCACGGCAGCCATGCTTTCTGCTTCTCTCAGCCGTACTGCCATCACTTCTTCTTTATTCTAATAGGAAACAGGTGAAGGGTAACTCAAAATAATGTGCAATTCCATCTTTCTGAGAAACTATAGCAGCCTTTCTCAACCAGGGTTCCTCCAGAGGTTTTTAGGGAACATTGAACAGTTTCCGCCTCTCTAATAAGTAACCACTGACACCAATTATATTATTAGCTATCTGTAAAGTACACATTTTTTTCCATGAGCACCAATCTAAGATGTCCCTTCTCCACTGACCACCTCCTCATCTATAGGAGGAGGCCCTTCTCCACTGACCACCTATACATCTACATAAGAAGGCCCTTCTCCACTAACCACCTATACATCTACATAAGAAGGCCCTTCTCCACTGACCACCTATACATTTTAATGAGAAGGCCCTTCTCCACTAACCACATATACATCTATAAGAGAAGGCCCTTCTCGACTGACCACCTATACATTTTAATGAGAAGGTCCTTCTCCACTAACCACATATACATCTATATGAGAAGGCCCTTCTCCACTGACCACCTATACATTTTAATGAGAAGGCCCTTCTCCATTAACCACATATACATCTATATGAGAAGGCCCTTCTCCACTGACCACCTATACATCAATATGAGAAGGCCCTTCTCCACTGACCACATATACATCTATATGAGAAGGCCCTTCTCCATCCATCCACCATGTTCATTTCCTGGATCCTTAACCCACCATGTTCATTTCCTGGATGTTCTCCATCCACCATGTTCATTTCCTCAATGTCCTCCATCCATCATGCTCACTTTCTGAATGTCCTCCATCCACCATGCTCACTTTCTGAATGTCCTCCATCCACCATGCTCACTTCCTGAATGTCCTCCATCCACCATGCTCACTTTCTGAATGTCCTCCATCCACCATGCTCACTTTCTGAATGTCCTCCATCCACCATGCTCACTTTCTGAATGTCCTCCATCCACCTTGCTCACTTCCTGATTGTCCTCCATCCACCATACTCACTTCCTGAATGCCCTCCATCCACCATGTTCACTTCCTGGATGTCCTCCATCCACCATGTTTATTTCCTGGATGCCATTCATCCACCATGTTCACTTCCTGGATGTCCTCCATCCACCATGCTCACTTTCTGAATGTCCTCCATCCACCTTGCTCACTTCCTGATTGTCCTCCATCCACCATACTCACTTCCTGAATGCCATCCATCCACCATGTTCACTTCCTGTATGCCATCCATCCGCCATGATCACATCCTGGATGTCATCCATCCACCATGTTCACTTTTGTATGCCATCCATCCACCATGATCACTTCCTGGATGCGATCCATCTGCCATGATCACTTCCTGGATGCCATCCATCCACCATGTTCACTTCCTTCCATCATGTTCATTTCCTGGATGCCCTCCATCCACCATGCTCTTCTCCCTTTATCTTGCTCTCCTTCACATTCTTTCATAGCCCCTCTCCAGCCTGGTTTCCCAGCAATATGGCCAATAAATTGGCATTTTCTCTTCAATATACCTTCCAATAGAAATGGTTTTGCTTCACTGATGCTCCGCAGCTCTTCATTCGATTGGTATTTATATAGCGCCGACAAATTTACGCAGCACTTTACATAGTTGCACATACACATCAGTCCCTGCCCTTAAGGAGCTTACAATCTAAGGTTCCTATCTCACATGCATGCATAGAGGGCCAATTTAGACAGGAGCCAATTAACCCTCCAGCATGTCTTTGGAGTGTGGGAGGAAACCGGAGTACCGGAGGAAACCCACCCAAGCACAGGGAGAACACGCAAACTCCTTGCAGATAGTGTCCTGGCCCGGATTCGAACCAGGGACCCCCAGTGCTACAAGGCGCTAACCACTACACCACTCAGTCACGTCCATCCAGCTGATTTGTAAGATCCTACTGTAGCACCAGAGTTCAGAACTTGTGATCTTTTCTTTTAGAGACATTGTGAGTGAAAAATGTTTCTGCTCCATACCTAAGAACCGACCAGACTTGCATTCGTAGAGATTTTGTTCCTTGTGCTTAGAGGGAAATTGTTCCTCATAAGCTTTTTGCTTCTCCAGAAACTTTGTCTGGCATTGGCAATTCCAGGTCTGAGGTCAACTCCATTCTTCATGTTTTCGTTAATCTATATTCCAAGGGATTGAAAGTTGGTTACTTGTTCTATTGTTATGTTTTCAAGCATTAGTTTTACTTCTTTGTGTCCTTTGTTGGTTACAGCCCATGCTTTTTGTCTTTTCAGTGTTTATTTGGATGGAGACTTCCTTGCCCTTATCTGTTATTTCATTAGGTACGTGGTTAAGGTCTTCCTGAAATTCTTCAAACAAAACTATGTCGCCTGCACATCTTATTTCCAGTATATTCGTGGATTCTTTTGGTGGAATTTCAACAACTCCATTAATACTTTGAAAAGCTTCATCTGTATAGATACTGAACAGCAGAGGAGACCGAACCCATCCATAGTGTACGCCTCTTTCTAAGGTGATTGCATGTTCTTGTTGGGTATCCACCTTCATAAACCCTTGCTGTTTGTTACAGATACAGGCTATGGGAAGAGGAGGGGGGCGTGCATAGCTGATTTGTCCTTCAAAGGGGGGGGTGGACCAGACCGCACTGTCAGTGGTTCTATGCGGCATCCCGCCCAGTTCATTGATGTCACTAGTTCCCAGGAGCTTAGTGGGTCCCAAGCCAGGTTCTCCCTGCTCAGCTCCTGGTGGTAACCAGTGGCGTTAGTGAGCTGGATGGGAAGCCGCACCGCACAGATCATCACAGGTTGCTAAGACCCCTTGGCAACCTGGGATGCTGTGGCCGTCCCCGCGCCGCCCCGCCACCACCTGGCCGATCCCCAATGAGATACCACCTCAGGCTGCTTCATTAAGGATAACCCTGCCTGACTAAAAACATCGTCTGCATCCCACTGAGTGTGGCAGATGGTACCCCTCTGCATGCTGTGGATGCTTCTTTGTCCCTGCATCACTACATGACACAAATGAGACACAGGTTGTGGGAAGGAACCACAGTTTGCACTGAGGGACTATGCATCTGACACACCCAGAAGTGCGAGCTGCAGAACATTTTTCAGGCAACATGGCATCTGAAGGCAGGCAGCGAATATTGGCAGCTGGAGGGGAAGTATAAAACCTTTTCTTGGCAGGCATGGCTTTGGTTTGGGAATTCAAAATAGTGCCAGGATCTTTAATCAATAATGCATACATACTGTACGTGGCTTGCTTACATCTTGTGCTGTTATATTGTGTCTCACCTTACAATCCGTCACTGCATGTCTTCTCTTGTCCTCATTTATTTGGGTCTGCAGGGCCTTGTTCTGTGCCGCCTCGCTCTGCAACTTCTCTCTGAGCTCCTTACACTCCTTCTCCAGCCGGGACAGCTGCTTGTCATGTAACAACTCCTGAAGAGGACACACATCATTAGCCAATAGAATCCCTCCATCAGACCCAAACTGAAGAACTGCTTCACACTAGTTACATCAGTGGGAAGGATTTCATCCTTACAGAGTTCAGACAGAAAAAACACTAGGGATGCACCGATACTAGTTTGGGTAATGCTCCCGATGCCTATCCTGATACTGGAACGTCTGGTATCATGAAGCCGGGCGGCGAGTCATTACACTTTGCCCGGGAAGCTTCCCGGCCATTTCAGCTTCCTGATTGGTCGCCACCCAGCTTCCTGATTGGTCGGGAAGGTGGCCAATGAGGAAGCCAGGCGGCGAGTCATTACCCGCCCCACTGGCTTCCTGATTGGCCATAAAGCCAGCTCTCTGCTTTCTTGTCACCTGGTCATTACACGCAGCCAGGCTACCAGACTTCTGGTATCGGTATTCAGTATCGCCGAGTACCGGAAAAAATAAATATTGGTACTTGTACCAGATACCGAAAAACTGGTATCGGTGCACCCCTAAAAAAACACTCTATGAACAAGCGGCGTATTGTCATTGCCCGCCATTCACGGCTATTAGCTTTCTTTGCCATCAATTATTTTGTTTCCAAACATTATATGAAAGAACACATCCCTGGCATCCCGTTACTTGCATGCTCGGGCAATTGATTAGCAGAGTGCTCAGCCAAAGTCTGCAGCACCCGATGGCTAGCAGGGAGGAGCAGGCATTTTTATAAAGGGATGCTGGGGATGTGTTCTTTCATATACTACATGAGCTCTCGAAAAAGATCAGAGTCAGGGTACTGTGAAGTTTAGAGGAGCCTAGTGGAGCCTCCCACCAAATTCGGAGCAGAGACCAGGAGACAGATCCAGTGATGACATTGGGGGGGGTCTTAAATAGCGCTGCCGTCCATCAGGAGGCATCTCATCAGGACACGTGTGTGCCTGCCACCCCCTTTCCGGCCAGAGCGTCCCAGGTTGCTAAAACCTTACACCCCCCCTCCTGAACGTGCACCACCAGCAGTCCCAAACCCTCCTGCCTCGCCTCGGGCTAAATGATGCTACAGAGGTAACTACTGTCACAACCAGTCTGTGTTACCTTGGCTTATTTCAGTTGGCGGTGTACACCTGCCCTTGCCTATCCTATGGAAGTTAACACTTTTGTCCTAAGGTTAGGGCTAGGGTTAGCGAGCGTTAGGGCTAGGGTTAGCGAGCGTTGGGGTTAGGGCTAGGGTTAGCGAGTGTTAGGGCTAGCGAGCGTTAGGGCTAGCAAGCGTTGGGGTTAGGGCTAGCGAGTGTTAGGGCTAGGGTTAGCGAGCGTTGGGGTTAGGGCTAGGGTTAGCGAGTGTTAGGGCTAGCAAGTGTTAGGGCTAGGGTTAGCGAGCGTTATGGTTAGGGAGCGATAGGATTAGGGCTAGTGAGCGTTAGGGTTAGGGCTAGCGAGCGTTAGGGATAGGGTTAGCAAGCGTTAGGGTTAGGGCTAGCGGGCGTTAGGGATAGGGTTAGCAAGCATTAGGGTCAGGGCTAGCGAGCGTTAGGGTTAGCGAGCGTTAGGGATAGGGTTAGCAAGCATTAGGGTTAGCGAGCGTTAGGGATAGGGTTAGCAAGCATTAGGGTTAGGGCTAGCGAGCGTTAGGGCTAGCGGGCGTTAGCAAGCATTAGGGCCAGGGTTAGCGAGCGTTAGGGATAGGGTTAGCAAGCATTAGGGTCAGCGAGCGTTAGGGATAGGGTTAGCAAGCATTAGGGTTAGGGCTAGCGAGCGTTAGGGTTAGCAAGGGTTTGGGTTAGGGCTAGCAAGCATTATTAGGGTTAGGGCTAGCGGGCGTTAGGGATAGGGTTAGCAAGCATTAGGGTCAGCGAGCGTTAGGGATAGGGTTAGCAAGCATTAGGGTTAGGGCTAGCGAGCGTTAGGGTTAGCAAGGGTTTGGGTTAGGGCTAGCAAGCATTATTAGGGTTAGGGCTAGGGAGTGCTAGGGTTAGCGAAGGTTAGGTTTAGCGAGCCTTAGGGTTTAGTAGTTAGAGTTGGTTTGATCCATCAGTACAACCTACTAACAGTTTTGTCTAATTTCCCTCAAAAGGGAGGGCTGCTGATATACAAATTAGCTGATCTGATAAAACAGATATTCAAAATAATATGTACCCACCATACTTTAAGATGACTGGGATTGGCCACTTGCAGGTCCCTATTACATTTTTAAAGGCTGAGATCTATTAAAATGTAACCTGTTCGGGGCCCCCATCTACCTAACCATGGTTATAGTACCCCAATACAACCCTCTTTTGCTTGTGATCTGGAAACCCATTTTCCTTAGCCGTTGTTCTGTGAGGCCTGCAGCTGTACTTCGGTTTGTGTCCCAGGTTCAGGACACCAAGTGACCCTTATGTGGACCACCTAGATGATTAGACAAACCAGTGGCTCTCTGACCAAGGTTTGGGTCAGAGATAAGTGGGGCACCAGGGCCAGGAGATCTAAGGGCCCCTGGGGAGGCAATGTCAGCACCTCGGTGGTTACCGGGGCCGGGCCCTCTTCTTCCTTTCTGCCCCCCCCAAGTGGTGGAATACCAGGGCCTGGTGGCATGTGCGACCACTGCAACCCTGGTGCTTCCGCCAGTGAGTGGAAACTGCAAACTGGTTTTTGGAACGGGATGTCCAACGATCCCATACAGGTGTGAGGGACAGATGTCCGCCAACGCCACCAACATTCAGTGTATGTGTAAGTAACCTGTTTTATCACTCCACCTATGCACGGTTATCCAGGCTGTAGACCCATTTTACACCAGCAGGCCTATGTGTCCACATTGACTGCAAATTTATTCTAATATACAAAGCGCGTCCATTGTCATCTGCCTCTTCTGCGTTCACTCAGCACCAGCGTGCTGCAAAACCGTTCCCATTCTGTGTCATTCGGTCTGGACTCTGCATTAATGAAATATACTACACAGAGGTCAATACAGGAGACAACCACTGACGGGAAGTGCGAGGTCACCTGACTTTCCAGAATGAGTACCCTCTGGCGAAGTTCACGCGTTTCGCTCTGAGCATGGACTTCACGTAACCGAGAGGACATGACCTCATCTTGCAGGTCCCCGGTTGCGTTCTTACGAGGAGAGTCTTTCCAAATGCCACCTCCCCGGGAAGACAGGGCCTGCATGAAAGGGAAAGAGGTTAAATATCAATAGTATTTCTATGCATCTTGTTGCTATAGATTGAAAGACATAACGACGTTTCCCTCTTATCCGGCACAGAGCAAATGTTTCTATTTTGTAGGGATGCACCGATACCATTTTTACCCGACTATACGAGTACCAAAACTTTTCCTCAAGTACTCGCCGATACCAATTACTAATACCTTTTTGTGTGTGTCATGTGACAGATTTTCTAAAACAATACAGACTAATGATTTTAGGACAGTGGTGGAGCACCAGGACCCTGGTAGTTCTGCCACTCACTCCAATCTGTAGGGGGACTACATATCCCAGCAATACATTATACAGCAATGCAGAATAATACCATCAGCTATAGAGGACTACAAATCCCAGCAATACATTATACAGCAATGCAGAATAATACTATCAGCTGGAGAAGGAGTTGAAGCAACAGTATATCCCAGGGCAGGCAACCTCGGCACTCCAGCTGTTGTGGAACGACAAGTCCTATGAGACATTGCAAGACTCTGACAGCCATAAGTATGACTCTCAGAAGCAGAGCTGTGTCGGCATTTGTAGTTTCAACCCAGCTGGAGTGCGAGGTTGCATCTGCTTTAAAGGGATGACGGCTTCTGTGCACGGGAATAATACAGAGCTTACCTGCCAACGGTCTGTCAGTTCAGTGACTTGCTGCTGACCCTCTCGCATGACCTGTAGAGCATGGGCCTCTCTCCTCCGCATGCACAGAACCTCCTCCTGGAGCATCGCAACGTTGTTCTCATCTGGGAGAGCGCTGTTCCGCTGCAGGAAATAAAACTTGTTCTTTTTAAATCAATGTTAAAAGGCCGAACAGAAACGGAATGAAAAATGGTTACACTAATCAAATGTTCTCCAATCCAATGGCTTTTGCCCACTGCTGATTGGAGAGATGCAGCTGTCACTCAGCAAGGGGCCTGTGGGACCTCTGCAGAGAGACCACTGCTCCCGCACAAAACTCAAGGGTCCTTCTCTACAGCATGCAGGCAGGGGACAGGCTTTTCTACTCAGGATGTGGCTGTAACTTTGCACGCCTTTTGTTTTAATGCACCTGGAACATATTTAGGGCTCATTCACACCAGGGGCATCCCGAGGCCGGGTGTCACCGGGAGCAGAGACCGGGTGACACCCCGCCGTGACGTCACCACACGCATGCGCGATGACGTCCTCTAAGTGACGCCTGCCGGCGGCCATCTTACTGATGGGCGCTGGCAGAGAGAGGAGGGGACGTTCACCCGGCGGGATGTGGTATGCCGCCGGGTCCCCTCCTCTTTCCTGCACTGTCGACTGTGCCCGACTTTTTAGAGGGGGGTGACACCCGGGTGCAGGCCGCCTTGTGACTTCACTGGTTAACACTAGCCTGCACGCTAAATTGAGCCCTTCTAGCACTCGGGCTAGTCAAAAAAATTTCAAAAGTGACATTTTCTTCATTTCTATACTCCACAGTGAAGACAGACAGAGACTTTGGATGAGCTCCAGTGCGGTACGGACAGATGCATACATTGTGGGGTGAACGGGTCACATAGCAGATATAACAATATGCCTCATATTACACGTTTGGCTAAGCTCCATCAACTGCTACCCCTCTGTCCTGAGAACGCCCTTGCTGGAAACCGAGGCAGTGTCATTGTGCAGGGGGAGGGCAGAGGATGATGGAGTTTAGATGTAATAATATATCTCAGAAGTAAAATCAGGCATCACGTGGTATCTGCTGTCCGGTCCAACGTCCTCCTCCAGAAGATTCCATTGGAGGCAGCGGGGAACAACGGTCTGTCTCTACATTGTACAGGTTGTATCCGTCTCTCACCTTTTCCAGCTCTACCACCTTCTCCTGCATCTCCCTCAGTGCTTCCAGAGACTCTGCTTCTCTCAGCCGTGACTGCTCCAGCTCCGACTCCAAGTGGGTGACCAACTCTGAGGTGACCCTGGGATCATTCTGTAACGTGTACACAAACATAGATATGAACACGTATATTAAACAGGAGGCAGTAGAAAGCACGGTCACTATTATACAGGTTATGGTGTACAGGGTATACTTTGTGTATGGAGTAATTATACAGGTTATGATATACAGCAGGGGCGCCCACAATTTTTCAAATTCCACAACTTTTCAAATGACGAGCTCAATGAGATCTACCAACAAAAAAACACCTGCGTTCAGGGGCGGGAGGGGGCGTGGTGGTGCATTGAAGTCAATGCCATCGCAGCCACGCCCCCCGCCCGCAGTGCGATCTCCCGCAACTGGAACACTGTGGTTTGAACCGGCCCTCACTCTTCTCTTCTGTCTTTTCTCTCTCTACCCTGTTTCTATCTGCTGTCTCTTCTCTCACTTTCTCTGCTCTCTTTCTTCTCTCTCTCTGCTGTCTCTTCTCTCTCTCTGCTGTCTCTTCTCTCTCTCTGCTGTCTCTTCTCTCTCTCTGCTGTCTCTTCTCTCTCTCTGCTGTCTCTCTTCTCTCTCTCTGCTGTCTCTTCTCTCTCTGTTGTCTCTCTTCTCTCTCTCTGCTGTCTCTTCTCTCCCTTTCTCTGCTGTCTCTTCCCTCCCTTTCTCTGCTGTCTTTCTTCTCTCTCTGCTGTCTCTTCTCTCTCTTTGCTGTCTCTTCTCTCTCTGCTTTCTCTCTCTTTGCTGTCTCTTCCCTCCCTTTCTCTGCTGTCTCTCTTCTCTCTCTCTCTGCTGTCTCTCCTTTCACTTTCTCTGCTGTCTCTTCTCTCTCCTGTCTGTCTTTTCTTACCTGCACTGCAGCAGCTTCCCGGGTCTCCTCTCGTGCGCCGGCGTCCTGTCCTCCTGCGGTGCTCGTGTGGCCAAATGCGGCTGACGTTGCACACGGGGAGAGGTATCCAGCCCCTTCCCGTCTGCGGCATCTGACACATTCAGCCGGCAGCCGCACGAGCACCCCGGGAGGACAGGACACAGCCGATCGCGATCTACCAATGTTCGCTTTCCAATTGACTGGTAGATCGCGATCGACCTAATGGGCACCCCTGGAGTACAGGGTATACATTGTGTATGGTGTCATTATGCAGGTTATGGTGTACAGGGTATACATTGTGTATGGTGTCATTATGCAGGTTATGGTGTACAGGGTGTCCTTTGGGTATAGTGTTGTTGCATAGATTAAGATGAACAAGGTATACTTTGTTCATGTTGGTATATAGGTTATGATGTGCAAGGTGCATTTGATGTATGTAGTAAGTTATAATGTACAAGGTGTACAGAGTGTGAATTGTAGTTCTACAAATAAATGATACATAGGAGAAAAGTGTCTGCACACAAAGCCTAAGATGAATCCCCCCCGGTACTCTTAGGTTTGAAGGAAGAAGCACATGAGGACAATCAAAGTCTATTTTTCTGCTTCTATAAGACAATATAAAGTTGTATTTGGTGTCCACATGAATACGATGAATAAAATGCCCCTTTATATAAAAGACGCAGTTCACCAACCTCCGCCGGAGTCCTGCGTCCGCTGTGTCTCTCACCTGCTTGTCCTGTAGTTGGCGGATTTGGTTCTGGGCACTCTGAAGGTTCTCGGTTGCTGTGTAATATTGCTGCTTTACCAAGGCCAGCTCTCGCTTTATGGCGTAGTTCTCCTCGGCTTCCTGCGCCCGTGTCACCTGACCCTAGTGGAGGCAGCCAGGAAAACCAAGTCACTTTCGGCTTCTAGCCCTAATGGATTGTGGCTTGCTTTATCCTGCAACAATTTCTCCTAAGCTGTCCATTAAAGAGGAGGATAACCCTCTTCCAGTCCCCGTGCACTTGGCATTGCATTCACTAAATACCCTTTTTTTGAAAATGAGGTCCTACCAATATCTGGGGAACGATGTCTGATACATGGAAGTGCGTTCATTTGAGTGCATCGTATAAATATTTCCTGCATGTATGTACACAATGAGCCCACATGTTCAAGGTTTGGATGGTGGTACATGGAAGTCTTACTGGTCACTATGTGGCCCTTTCATCTCCTAGATAGATTCCTGGAACAAATGTCAACTTTCTTGATCTGCTATAGCCATAAACTTGGTTGTAGACAAACCTCTGATTTAGCCAGTTTGAAAGGGGAGATGACATTATGTCTATGGCATGGTCTAAAAGCCCCAGCTGACCGTTTTGTCAAGCAAATAATCGGCTGGAAGGATTCATTGTTACTATACCCTGCATGTAAGATGGCATTGAGTCTGTCTTGCCATACCCCAGTACATAACCTTGTATGTTTGGCTGAGATGAGCACACAGTTTCTGGAAAACCTCACTGACCATCTTGTTTGAGGGTGATTGGACCATGCCTGACTACCTTCTAGGTTTATGGGTACTCCTCACAATACCCAGAGACATCTGCTTGGCCTCTGGTACCTGGATCATTATGGGGACCATGGTTTCCTAACCTAATAGGCCGATCGCGAGTAATATGGCTGAAGTGCTCAGGTTCACACACATTTACTATGTCCTTCTTGTATTCTCCTAACAACTGGCATTCCCTCTAGGTTTATGGGTACTCCTCACAATGCCCATGTTTAGGAGGCATCTGCTTGTCCTCTGGTACCTAGCCCTTTATGGGGACCACAGTTTCCTAACTTAATAGGCCCATTGGGAGTAATATGGCTGAAGTGCTTAGGTTCACACACATTTACTATGTCCTTCTTGTATCCTCCTAACAACTGGATGTGTTATTACCCTAAGGAACAATTGCCACCCAGCTCCAATTTTCAACTCTTATGACAGGAAAAAAATACACCGGGAAAGGAAGGAAATAATAGGGGGATGGTCCTAAAGCCCAAAAAAGGCAAGAAGATAGAAAACTGTACCTGGATGAGCCTGTCCGCTAATGCAGCACTCTCCTATGAGACAGTCCACAAGGACGAGGAGACGGGAAGAAAAGAGGTAAAGCAAGAAAGAGCCAGAGAGAGAGCAGAGGGGAGAGAAAGAAAGAAAAAGGTAACCACCACCGCACTACAAGAAGCAGGACTGAATTAGACAGGTCTCTCTACAAAGGCTGCTACATTCAATTACTGCAATATCACCCTGAGAGGATTTAAAAATGGCCGCTTTATGGTCGGGGTCCTCTACTGGATTCCAAAATTTTATCCCAACTTCAGACATGTGGTCGTTTCCTGCACAACCCCCCTAAGCAAGAAACAGACTTTATTTTGTTTACTTTTATTTGACAGATAAAATCTATCGATATCATATAAAGATTCTTATAGTGAGCTGTTATATCCGAATGGATGATTGCAATGTTTGTTGACACCAAATGTAATGTTTTAGACCCTTGGTTCTCAACTGGTGGGTCGTGACTCTGTGTTCAGTGGGTCGTCGCGTGCCTTCCACTTTTTTAGATGAGAGGCTCCTCAGCCTCCCTCTAGCTCAGCGCTGTCAGTTCTCACACCAAGCAGCCATTCAAAATATGCTGCATGGTGGCGAGTCTCAGCTTGAGGTGGGGTGGGCTGGGGGTATAGCTGCGAGGGAGCTCCATCCATATGTAGATTGCTTACAGCTCCCTCACAAGTCCTGTAGAGATGCCTGGACCGGAGTGACATCACATCCTGGCTCCTGGCACCACTACAGGACCCATAAGGGAGCTGTACAAGCAATGCACATATGGATGGAGCTCCGTCACAGCAGCCTACACTGGACCGCATGCTGAGGATCTACTCCAGTTCCTGTAAGATAGGAAGATTGGGTGGATCTTAAAATTGTTTTTGGGAATATGTGTGTGTGTGTGAGAATGTCTGTGATTGTGTGAAATGATGTCTGTGGTTGTGCGTGTCTGTCGGTGTTTTTGAGGAACCGTTCACACTAGTACAGTGTGTTAATCACACAGTCCTGTGCGATTAACACACTTTACCACGCAATCGCACCTACTGTGCATATTGGTGTGGAAGGTGTGTTGCATTGCCATTAATTTGAATTGCACCCCAAACGCACCTCCCACCCACAGTTCGATTGCCCACACCAGAAGGCATGGTACCACAATGCCGTGCCTTCCAGTGCGGTGCGACTTGGGTCACCAAGGACAAATGTGGGTCCTGAGGTTACACAGGTTGAGAACCATTGGTTTAGACCAAGTCTGGCACGGCTTCATGGTCCGAGTTAAAACCATGCGAGACAGCAGACAACCAGAAACTCAATATCTAATACATTGTATATGTCTCTTTTTAATTTCAAGTAGAGAACCCCTTTAAAAAGAACATCTGACACAGCACAGATATTAAGAAAAATTATCTATTCGTAGAATAAGTTCAATTTACATTGTGCAAGAAGTCAAGCAGCCATCTTTAAATGTGATGTGTGGAGGGGAAAAGGGGGATAGGAGCAAGATGGCAGTACCATAGACTGTGTGATGAGCAGAAAGGGTGCAGCGTATAAGAAAGTTCCACAAATCTTACTTTCTCTAGAGTTTCAATCCGTTGCTTCAGAAGTCTATTCTCCGATCTTAGTCTCTGCATAGAGTGGTGACAGACAGAGCAGATGGCAGGTGAAAAAATACAAAAAAACCTCTTGAGGCCTACTAGTCATACTCACATTTAGGGTTGCCACCTGTCCAGGATTCACCCGGACAGTCCGGGTTTTGAATGCTGTGTCCGGGTTTCATGGCAGCAGAAACCCGGGCACAAGATGTCAGGCAGAAAGGGGCAACCAAAATTAAGATAGGGGCTACTGGTCCCCCCCACTGAAAATAGTCTCAACGGTGATATTTACATATGCATAAGCAACGACTCGTTCTCACCAAAAAATGTTCTTGCGTCGCTAGAGTGTGTTCGGGTTTCATTTGAAGAAAAGGTGGCAACCCTACTCACATTCAAGGCCACAAAGATCAATATTATCTGCTGTGCTATCTGACAAAATAGATATTGTTGGATTTGGATGAACAAGGCTGAAGAGATCAAGCTCCATGAGAAAGGAGATGTGCACAGGAAGGAGGCAGCTTTGACTCTTCCTTAGATCTAGAAGAACTACAAGGACTATTTTTTGTTAAAGTGACACCAAACTGAGGAGTTAAATCTTAATAATACATTCAAGTCCCTTAACTCTGAACAACAATGTATCTTATTTGTGTATCACTTGGCTGTAGATCCTCCAATCATCTCTGAATTGGTGCTGACACTGTCCTTCCTTCTGGAGGGGGGCTACATCTGTTCCTCATGGTCCCTGTGTGTGTTGTAAAGTAGTCACCGCTCCAAGCTCGCTCCCGAGATGGACTACAATCTCATGTTTAGTTTACTCATTTGTATTGAGATTGTAGTCCATCCTGGGAGCCAATTCCAGGGGGATGCACAGTAGCAGTGCGTTTTCATGTGCTGTAGTACATTGCATCAAGTTATGCAGCCCATTGAAAATTCATGAGGTGGAACACAGCTCAACACCTGAAAATGTCAGTCCTGCTGCATTTCTTGCAACATATTGCAATGCACACTGAAGAAAAAGTGGGAGTAAAATAAGCCCCATCATTGATGTCAGTGGATGCAATAATATCCCCCAGCATTGGTGCCATTGGCTGCAATAATAGTCCCCAGCTCTGGTGTCACTGGCTGCAATAATAGCCCCCAGCTCTGGTGTCACTGGCTGCAATAATAGCCCCCAGCTCTGGTGTCACTGGCTGCACTAATAACCCCCAGCTCTGGTGTCATTGGCTGCAATAATAACCCCCAGCTCTGGTGTCATTGGCTGCAACAATAACCCCCAGCTCTGGTGTCATTGGCTGCAATAATATCCCCCAGCTCTGGTGTCATTGGCTGCAATAATATCCCCCAGCTCTGGTGTTATTGGCTGCAATAATAACCCCCAGCACTGGTGTCATTGGCTGGAATAACAAACCCCCAGCTCTGGTGTCATTGGCTGGAATAACAAACCCCAGCATTAGGGTCAGTGGGTGAAATCAAAATCCCCAGAACTGGCTGCAATAATAACCCCCCAGTACTGGTGTCACTGGCTGCAATAATAACCCCCAGTACTGGTGTCATTGGCTGCAATATTAACCCCGATATTTGTGTCACTGCCTGCATAACCCCGAGCATTCGGGTCATGAGTGCAATAATAACCCCTTTTACCTGTTCCACTGTCTCGCCTCAATATGGCCAAGACTTTACTTGTACTATCGGGCAGAGGTCACTTCATCTGACAGTACAGTCTTATTTCAGTGCTGGACTGTTTCCGCACCCACCGCCCCTAGCACTCTGCCACCCTCTGGTGCCCAGAACACAGCAGGCGGCAAATAGAGAGCTGGTGGGCCACATTGGGCTCAAAGGCCGTGCGTTGGACACCAAGGATCTAGAGCAGCATGACAATACTCAACTTTTCCGCTCACTATTGTCTACATTTCATAGACCACACTCTACATGTCTACCAGCAGAAACAAAAAAGATGACATAACCTTTTCGGTACCTACCTTGATTTCAATTTGCTCCTCCATCTCTTTACTTTTAATAGCAGCGTATTCTTTCTCCAGTCTACAGAGGGAAGGACAGAGACTTTCAGCTTTAAAACCGACTCTAGAACAAGTTACCCCAATAAGGCTCAATATCCTCTTCATACCGCTTCATTCTCTTTGGGTTGTACTTGACTTGGTAGGCCTTGTGGATCAGTTTATCAGGGCAGCTTTCAAACTGGTGCGGGATCACCTTCTGAAAATACTGAAAATGTGCAGAAATTAAACTTTGGCTCCATTGGATCTACAGGACATCCTAAGTCAACAGAAATTAAACATTGGTTCCATTGGATCTGCAGTACAGTACAGAAATTAAACATTGGTTCCATTGGATCTGCAGTACAGTACAGAAATTAAACTTTGTTTTGATTGCATTGGTTGGTGAATCAGTGCATGTCGGCTTTGATCAAGATGCAGGTCTATGCTCTACCGTTTCATAAGCATACATCTGAGGCAGTGTACATCTCTATAAATAGAGGACCTATAAAAGTGTACACCTCTTACCATACTGATCCGGGCCTGTCACAACTTGGCTGGTCTTCCAGCGCCTGTGCCAAGGGGATTTGGGTTTGTGTTGAAGGGGACTGCAGCGTGCTTTTGGACATCAGAGATGCTTCTAAGATTATTCAGGATTCATTGCAGGTCCACTTGACCTGCGTTTGGTCTGCTTCCAGTAGGCTTTGCATTGCCATAGATGTGTATGAGCACAGAAGCGGTTCTGACGTGAACAAAAGCCCATAGACACAGGCCCTTAAAGGGGAAGTCAAATTACAACTTGCCCTCATCTACAAGCAGATTATATTTACTTCTTGTTGATAGTCTCCAAATCCTGAAAAGCCTTTCCATTCAAGAGATATTGAGGTTATGTTTTCTGGTCAAGAGCATTCCTACAATTTTTTGCTGCCTGAGGCTGTTGGGCAAGGCTGGCGGTGCACATTATGGGGGGTTGTGTTGGTGGTGCATGCCATTGGGGGTGAGCGGGGGGGGGGTTGCACAGTACCTCTGTCAGCTTATCTGGCAACCAGTGTCATCAGGGAGCTAGACAGGGTGCCAGACAGCGTTATCACAAGCTGTCACTGATTTTTTTCTCACTGACAAACAGATGTTTTTATTACTAGTGAGACAGCAGACTAGCAGGGGGGGGCACGTAACTGAAGGGGGGTTGTATGGTGCCCCTGTTTGGCATTCCACCAACCCACTGACATCACTGGTTGTTAGGAGCTGGATGACGTGCCAGAGCATCACAGGTTGCTAAGAGTTTTTAGCAACCTGGGACACTCTGGTTGGAATGGGGGAACAGGCACACCTGCCTCCCTTCCCCACGTGAGCCAATGAGATGCCGCCTGAAGCAACCTCCATATAGCGTGATTATAGGGATGGCCCTGTCCCTTGTGACATCACTTGCGCATTGCCAGATGACCATGCCAAGCTATGAAGTGCACCTTGCAGGGATGACACCATGAACTATCTCTGGCTTACATCTCTTAGGATTCTCTGTTTGCGTCCTGAAACCCCATGTGACTAGTGACATCACAGGGGTTAGGAGAATTTTGCCTCGTCACTGTCTTTTCTTACTCACTGCCGTATGGAGATGAGCTGCGACACTGTACATGTCTCAGCACAATGGCAACCTCCAATTCAAAGCAAGGTTTGGCTTCTTTATGCAGCGTATGAGTTGATGATTGAGTGTGAAAGAAATGAATGGGGGAAGTAAGTGCAGAGACACATATAAGATGGCGCCAGCTTCAGCAAGAGAGGGCGTAGAGTCGCCTACATCAGCAAACAGGGTAAAGGCACAAGGCACTTAGATCACAAACTTTCACCAAATGCTTGGTTAGTGTTCCAAGTCTTGTGGTGGCGGATGAAGCGGACTTCTCCTTTAAAGCATAACTTGACTTTTGTTGAGAAAACAAGCTCTTCTCTAGGCGATCTACATACATTGCGAGGGTTTTTAGCAGATTCCTTCCTTCCTTCGTTCTAAAGAAACAGCTGTTTGTTTTACCATGTCCTCACCGATTCCTGAACAGGAGAATCTCATTATAGCCACCTGAGCAATCTCAGTGTTCTAATGAGGAAAGCTGCAACATACTGCATCCCTTTAGAAGACTATAGACCTTAAAGGAGAACTATGAAGTGAGTGAAAATCACTCAGCCTCATAGTTCGAGCCGACCTGTGACAATGAAACTGTCACAGGTCTGCTCAATAGATCGGGAAGTGAGAGAACACATACCGTCGCTCGCTCACTTCTCGATCCTGTCCCTGCAGAGAGCGGTAACTGCCACTCACGGCTCCCTGCAGGGATTCCCGCCCTCCCCTGTCCGATCCGCCAGCCCTGACGGGTACAGCTGGCTGGGCAGAGCCAGCTGTCAATCACACAGCTGGGTGGATCCAGACAGTAATGTCAGGATCTGTCCCGGTTTAGGCGGTCTCAGTATACCGCGAGCTGTAGCTTGCGGTATACTGAGCTTTGGGTTACGGGAGGACGCTAGTTTGTGCCCTCCCGTTACCCTTAGGAGAACTATGGGGAAAAACACTGACCCCATAGTTCTCCTTTAAAGCAGGGGTAGACAACTTTGGCATTCCAGATGTGGTGAAGCTATAAATCCAATCATGACTCTGCCTCTGGGAATCATGCCTGTGGCTGTCAGAGTCTTGCAATGCCTCATGGGACTTCCACAAGAGTTGGAGTCCCAAGGGTCCCTTTAACGAAAAGCAAAGACTTAACTGAAACACATCTGGCTGACGTGTGGACATAAACTGGCTTCTCACCATTCCCTGCCCCTTCGCATGTATTGCAGAATGCAGCTGACAATCCCTACCTGTGACATCCCCTCCATGTCCAGCTGCATGAGCTCCGTCTGGTTTACAGTCAGTATTGCCATCCCTACTCGGAATATGACCTCCAGCCCCTGCAAAGTGACATGAAAAATCATACAATGACATGATACCCCATTCCTGCATAAGACGAGCCGTCATCTAGTAACAGGAGCTGTCACTGACCTCATAGATGAAGATATCAAAGATCCGCGTGGCCACAGGCAGGGGAAAGGTGGTGAGGAATAGGGTTAGAAACCAGGAGGAGGCATACATTGATGTGAGGAAACAGTGGGAGCGGAAGTGTAGATTCAGCTCCGGGAGCTGGTCCTGTGAAATACACATTGTATTAGTAAGGAGGAAAATATCAAATGAAATGTACTTACTATGGACGAGGCCTGAAAGCTGAAGTTCGATCGGCTTATTTTTATCCTTCTCCTCTCCACTCCCCATGGATAAAACATTTCCGTTGTCATGTCCTACCTTATTTTAGACCCAGTGATATCATCACTGGGTGCCTGTGCTACTCAAGACGGAGGGAGGCTGCTGTATATACCCTGTTTCCCCGAAAATAAGACCTACCCCTAAAATAAGACCTAGTACTATTTTTTGTGAATTGCTAAAATATAAGACCTACCCCGAAAATAAGACCTAATTGTGACCATTCCCAGGGACGGTGGTGGCATAAGGAACTTGGAGAGCCGCGGGAGAGGCAAGAGAGAATCATATGAGTCCTACTCTGTCCTGGAGTACTGTGAGCCCAACCTGTGTGATGAGGAGCCCCCTATGCTGGTTTTACAGGAAATGGGCAGAATGACAGAGTCTCATTCTGCAATGAAGAGTTCCACCTTAAATTTTAAAGCTGTTGGGTTTGACTGATATTTGGGGCTCAGTCAGCGAGCTCACCTTCCAGGTTAGGTTATATAACTAGCGATCAGAGCTCATGAGTGTTATTGGGGTAATTGACTCGTTTTTATTTAACCACTTCACACATATATACATATACACACACACAAACACAGTATGTATGTGCACACACACACACAGATATATATATACACACACACACACACACACACACACAAACAAACACACGTCCTCATCCTGAAGTGGTTATACTGCTGCAGCCATTCTTCTGGTATTGTTTTTTCCTTTAGGTGAAGCTTGTTCAATTCAGGCGGCCGCCTGACTTGCCTTGCGGTAGCGCCGGGCCAGTCTGGGTAGCTGTACAGACACGGGAAGGACAGGTGCTGCGTGTGATTAGTACGCAGCCCCGGTCCTTCTCTATGGGACTACGCGGCCGTACGCCGCCCTGCGCTCACCTGCCCTGCACGTCCGTGCGGGTGTCTGTACTCGTACGTTCACAGGATGGATCCTGTCTGCGTCGGAGCCGGGACACCCGCACCCGTACGGACCTGCACTTGGTGAGAGCGTAGGGCGGCGTATGGCCGCTTAGTCCCATAGAGAAGGACGAGGGCTGCGTACAAATCACACGCAGCACCTGTCCTTCACGGGAGCTAAAGCCGTGCACGCAGCATGGAGCTGTACGGCCCGGCCCTTTCTAGTGTGAATGAGGCCTAATGATGAACTAATAGTTACAATCTATAAAATCAAAACCAAAAGTCAATATGTGGATTTCATTTAGGACAGGAATAACAATGGACCGTACCTGTAACATATATTCCAGCTGATATATACACAGGCCCAGCTCAGCCATACTGGGCTTAAAGAGTTCCCGTAACCGATATTCCTGCATCAGCCGCACAAAGACACAAAAGGCGTCTTCCTCCGGCATCTGACGAGGAGACATAATGAGGAAAGATGAAAGGAGGATACAAATATAAAGACAGCTAAAAGATCATTAGACTACCACAACGTATCTCTGACTGTCATATACTCTGACCGTTACAATGGAGTCCCAGGTGTCAGTGGGGCCGATTCATTAAAAGTGGAGAAAGGAAAATGAGCCCATCATTTGGGTTACTGCCCATAGCAACCAATCAGAATTCTCATTTGCAGTCCAACTCTAGCAATTATTTTAGAATCAAAATATACCACAAGCGGTACACAATAAAAAAGAAGCTCAGGCTGCGATACTCTGCGTCAATACATACTGGTCCGCTACACTACTTCTTTTTCGCCACAAGATGTCCTCAGTCTCGACTTGAGTGGTATCGGAGAGTGGCGCTGCTGTGATGACATCAGCACAGCGCTTTGCTTAAATACACTATGGACGGAGGGTGCCCAGGTGGTAGCTCTGGGGCGTTCCTCTGCTGAATTAGAGAGTGGCACCGATGTGATGACGTCAGCACAGCTCTCTGGTTTAATACACTATGAATAAATGGTGCCTTGGTGGTGGCCCCCTAGGGGCAGGGGCAATGATGTCCTGCATTTGGGCATCATTGCCCCACCCCCTAATGGGGTACAAACAAGGCACCCTTCATTCAAAGTGTATTAAGGCAGAGAGCTGCGCTGAGAAATACATCATTATGAGAGGCACCAGTGGGCAGCACAAGGTACCCAACGTAAGTGAAGCACCACCAATGACGTTAATGATTTGGGGGCCATTCTCCATTGGGGCTCACTATTCCACTGACACCAATGATTTCAGAGACTATTCTCCCCTTGTGGCCACTATCCCACAGGCACCAATGATTTGGGGGTCCATTCTCCCCTGGGGCCCACGATTTCACTGACGCTAATGATTTGGGTGCCATTCTTCCCTGGGGCTTACCATACCACTGACTCTAATTATTTGAGAGGCTATTCTCCTCTGGGGGCCACTATCCCAGTGATTATTTGGGGGGTCCATTCTCCCCTGGGGCCCATTATTTCACCGACACCAATGATTTGATGCAATATTCTTCCTTTGGGACCACTATCCCACTGATATCAATGATTTAAACAACTATTTGACCCTGGAATTCACTATCCCACTGCCACCAATGATTTGAGGGTATATTCTCCTTTGGGAACCACTGTACCACTGCCACCAATGATTTGGGGAGCTATTCTTCCCTGGTGGCCACTATCCCATTGACTCCAATGATTTAGTGGGGGATTCTCTCCTGAGGGCCACTCTTCTACTGAGGGGCTATTCTTCTGTGGCGGCCATGACCCTTTTTACTTCTTCACTCTTGAGGCATTGAAGGTTTCAGAAGAATTTGCCAGGCCCCGGTTTCACTAATGTTGACAACCACTGATGTAGGTAATTTGATTTTCATACAAGAGGATTTGTAGATACAGAAGACTATACGGTCAGATTGTAATGTACGTGGGATGAGGATTCTGTACGACAAGATCTCTATGGTTTGGACACGTCACCTGCATGAGAAGAAGGCCCACGATGAAGGCACTGCCCTGGCAGTAACCAACTTCCCGGTCTATCAGCGAGTACGCCTGTGGAAGAAAGGAATACAAGTCACGACCTTTGCCCGTACTTTACAGCCACATGTCAACTCTCCACCGAAAATCAACACTTAAATCTAAACAGTCAATGACATCATTATCACAAACTGGATGGCATAAAATATATTTTCATATGAATCATGTATATTGTATGTATAGAAGGTGTCAGACGACTACCGAGGATGAGGGGTTCTGATGAAGGGGGCATGCCCCTGAAACGCGTAGACCTTTAGAACTCAAGGGGGCAGAGGATGCTGATGTGCTGTACTCCTTCAGACTTCCGCTGCTAGAGATTTTATACTTCATCACCATTTGTATGCTTTTAACCACCGACTTTCCTGTAAGTACATTTTTATTTGGGTGTTGTACAAATAAATTACACTTTTACACTATGGAGGCGCTCTGTCTTGTCCCTTGACTACCGAGGATATTCTAAGTCAGCCTTTCTCAACCTTTTTAACTTAAAGCAGGGGTTGGAGAATCCGGGCCTCCAGCTGGGGTAAAAATTGAAATCCCATCTTGCCTCTGGGAGCCATGTCTGTGGCCGTCAGAGTCTTGCAATGCCTTATGGGATTGCAGTTGTACAAGTTGGCGGGCTGGAGCTTGCGTACCCCTGACCGAAAGGAACCCTTGAAAAAAAATGTCAGTTATATCTGCAGCTCACAGTATGTTATCAATATCAGTAAGGTATAAATAAAAATAATAAATATACTATAATATTAAATACAAGAATAAAGACTACAACATACCTGGAGTACCTGACCCTCAAGATTTCTGGGACTATTCTCCCCTGGGGGCCAATATCCCACAATCACTATTGATTGCGAGAGCCAATCTTCCATGGGCCCCGCTATCACACTGACACCAATCATTTTAGGTGCTATCCTCCCCTGAAGGCCACTGTTCCACTGACACCAATGATTTGAGGGGCTATTCTCCCCTGGGGGTCACTATCCCACCGATGCCAATAATTTGAAGGGATATTCTTCACTGGGGGCATCTTGAGAAATACGAAATGAACTTTAATCCCTATAATGTGTTTCTTTCATAATGTTAATTTATATACACTGAGTGGCAAGTTTAATATGACCACCTGGCGTTTGTAGGCAAATTAGCTATTATTTGGCGCTGAAGTTGCTAGAGGGCCAGACCATTATAAATAGGGAAGCAGTTGTTTACCACGACAGTAGAAGTGATTATTTCTGAAGATACGGGTATTGAAAGGGGGAAAGTATGGGGGATTCGCTTTAGGGTAGATCCCTCTTGCTAAATAACTATAAAGGTAATGTTCTTCTTCCTATTGTCTAGGTACGAAGGTTAGACTTAGTAACAACTAGGGAGAGAACAAAAACCCAGCAAAATAGAATGAGCAATGTTATGTTTTATACGATTGGTACTGTAATGTCTGGTTATATGGTGTACTTGTCTTACAATGTGTAGATGAAAACAATAAAATATTTGAAATACTGAAGATACGGGGAAACAACGCGATGTAACAGCCTTTGAACGTGGGATGATTGTTGGCGCTCGGAGCCATGGAGCGAGTATCAGCAAAACAGCAGAATTCGTTAAATGTTCAAGAGCGGCTCATTGTTAAAGTGTTTAAAGACCGGACTGTCAGCCGAAAATCTGGGTCTGAACGTGCGAATTGAGGCCGTCAGCGACTAGTCAATGTTAGGGCAGAACGGAGAGTGGCAAGACTGGTACAAGACAACAGAAGGGCAACAGTCACGAGGCGGCCCAACGAAGTACTGATGCGGTGGTCATAATAATCTGGTTCATAATTTCCGATACATGGCACAAGTTCAAGAGGACTAAAAGTATTCTGCTGCTGATTTGAGTTCGTACTCAGTGTCCGGTGCATCTCATTGCAATGGTCAGCCAGCGTTGATGGATTCCAGTTACCCCAATATGGTTTTTCCATTGTGGCAATGTCCTGGTGAAACCGTTCACCATGTTCATCACTGACTGCACCCAGATTTTCAGGCAAAAAGTGTGAATGCAGAAAGTGGATCTTCAGTGACATGCTGTGTTGTGAAGATGTCATGTCATCTTCATTGTCTTGTATGCTGTGATAAGTTTGCCAACCAGCTGAATGTAGTTTGGTGCTCTGTAGCTGCTGACTAAATTATCAACAACATCCTTGAAACTAGCGATGTACTGATAGCAGTTTTTTGGTATCGGTACTGCTTCCGCTGGCATGGAGCCGGGTTCCTGGGCAATCAGGAAGTCGGGCGGTGGGTAATGACATGCTGCCCGGCTTCCTGATTGCCAGGGGAGCCGGCTCCATGTTGTCCAGCCGGCTTGATTGTGATTGGCCAGGAAACCGACTTCCCAGCCAATCAGCCTCGAGCCGACTTCCCGGCCAATCAGGAAGCTGGACAATGAGTAATGACCCGCCTCCTGGCTTTCCGATTGGCCGGGAAGCCGGCTCCTTTCTGATTGGCTGGAAAGCCGGTTTCCTATACAATCAGCATTGAGCTAGCTGTTTGGCCGGTAAGCTGGCTTCCCGGACAATCATCATGAAGCTGGCTTCTCGGTCAAGTTCCCCTATGGCACTGCTGGTCAGAGGAAATCTGCCTCCTTGTGCTGCTTCTTCCTCTCATACTCCAGCCCTTCTGTACAGGGACAGCAAAAGGCTGATACCAGGTCACATTCAGGTACTCACATTCCTTATATTTAGAAAATACATTTAATGATGTTGTCATGATCTATAGATCTGCAATAAATTGAGTCTTTTATATCTGGTTAGGGTTTAGCTTTAACTCCGGTTACTCCCTGCCTATGATTTACCCAACTAGGGTTTTAATGTGGTTTTTAAATATGTTTAAAAGTAAATGTCAACTCTTAGAAAACTGAGAACTTGGTTATGTTAGTTTGGTGATTATACAGAAATGAAAGGACACATTAAGGCTAGGCTCTCACACCTGCACTACACCCTAGATGCGCGTCCCGGGGGTCGTGCAGTCCTGCACAATGCAGGCAGCGATTGCCGCGTGGCCCCATTGATTTCAATGGGGTGACATCCGCGCGGCAATCACAGAAAAAAGGTACGAGTAAATTTTTTCCATACACAATAGACACGTGCACCGCCAAAAAATTTGTTTAGTATTGATTCAGATTTTGCATTATTTCGTTTTTCGGGATTCGGGTCCGAAAGTCAATTGGTTTCAGGATTCGGACAAAATTTGTTAGCAGTAGTCTGTACGAATTGTCGTTTTGTTTTCGTTTCATTCGTTCGTTGCTGCAACGAAATTTCATCCAACAAACGACATTTCGTAGAGATTACCGCTAATGAAATTCGGATTGGTTTGCATTCGTTATATCTGTAATACGGAATTCTGATACATCCAAATCTATCTCCGAATAGATGTTTTGTGTTCGGAAGCATGGGCGGAATTGCGGCGGGAAAACCGCCCGATCCACCCGGCGCGACTGCGGTGCCATTAGAAAATAATGGCACCCACAGTGCGATCGCTTCACACCTTAGCCATTCCTGACCGTGCAGCAATCCATGCGCGATTGCCGTGCGGTGAGGTGTCGCCTAGGTGGGAGCCTAGCCTAATTGTTACTATCAGGAAGAAACCTGTGCTGTAGCGATAATAAGAGGTTTGTTTTTCTTTTGGATTTCAAAAGAGAACTATGACCAAACCTTTTTTGGATCTTTAGGAGCACAGAAGGGCATTGCCCTCCTGTGACCCAAAACTCAGCATAATGTGGGCTATCAACATAACGTCATTACCTTCATGACATTGAACAGCCCCTCCTGTCCTAGGCTGTCCTGGCCCCTGAAGAAGTCGTGCTCGGGATAGGTTCGAGCGATGTCTCTGCGGATCAGCTTCTCGCAGGGTGAGGACATCCTCAGGAGGTCGGCGTATTGCTTCTTCACCGGCATGTCTGTCGCATTACATAACATCTGCCACACCATGGCTCTGAAGTGATGTGGGATCCCCTTACGGATAAGCTCCTGTAAGCAAAACAGAGTTATAAATACCGGGTTCACCAGGCTGCATCACCAGTTCTCCTCCATCATCTTTCATTGGGCATATCACACCTACCGCCCCTATATGTGACCCCCCCCACAATAGGCACCACCTTTACAGTATTCACAACTGCGCTCCCTATGGGGATATATCTCCATCGCCATTCACCTAGGTTTCCAGTCTTGGGCAAAGCACAATTTCCACTGGGTATGTCAGACGAGGGTTTCCATGTAAGGTCCGACACTCCCGTATTGGTCATTTTCTATTGGCCAGCCATACACAACATGCAAAAAGACTCCTTATATGCTCCACTGGGCTTCTGTAGAACTCTTCAGCTTTCCCACCTTCCAGCTTCTTTACTGACCCCTCTTTTATATGCTTATGTTAAAGATTATGTTGCATCTGTAACATCATCGATTGTGTACCTTGGAGGAAACACTCTCTTGGAGATAAATTCTTTCTTCAGAAAAGTAATTGAGTCATTAAAAAGAAAATAAATACCCAGCTCAGACTGAACACCAGGAGGAAGAAGACGGCACAATGATTGCCGACATTTATGGGAACGCCTTGAGGAAAAGTGTTGCGTAAAATCAACACACAAATAAAAACTTTGCTTAGGGCTTTGTGACCGGCTGAGGAGGACACATGTTAGCAAGACTAGACAATCACACTCGGAGCTTGGACAACTTCCCCATAATGGCAAGGGATAACTTGCACCTGTTTTAGCTGCAACCCAGGGAGACCTTTTGATATTTTTGGAAACCCTTTCATCTTCTCATCATTTTTATTAAGTTTGAAGGGTCAGAGTGAACTAGTGCTTTAGGCCTCATTCACCCAGGACATATACCGCATTCTGGGATACAGTAGTCCCAACCATGTGACAGGGTGACAATTTTGAAAACAGTTGTTACAGGATGTCTCTATAACACCATAACAGGAAGTGTCCTAACAAGCCCCTCCATGGTGCAGAGGTTTTTACTTTAAGTCTTTTGTAAAGGAGAACTATGAGGTGTGATGAGGGGAGTGAAAAGCACTCACCTCATAGTTCACAGGTCGGCTGAGTAGATGCGGAAGTGAGTGAACACACATCGCTCACTTCTCGATCCTGGATTCCCCCCTCCGATCCTCAAGCACTGACTGGCGGAATGGACGGGGAGGGGGCGGGCGGGCACAGCTGGCTCTGCTTCTGCTTCGTGAATAACAGCTGGCTCTGCCTATCTAGAAGCAGAGCCAGCTGTTATTCACGGGCGGATCCAGACATAATTCTGCTGTAGCTCGCAGTATACTGAGCCTAGGGTGACGGTGTCCTCCTGTTAACCTAAGGAGAACTTTGGGGAAAAGCCCTAACCCCATAGTTCTCCTTTAATATTATAGTGTCACACCCTTGCCCAGAATCGATCCTGGGAGCCTTTGGTCTCTGGGTTGTTTCCTTGCTTGTGGAGCCACTGGAGGGTTCTGATTTTGTGCTGACCTTGTCCTATCCACCTACATTGTATGGGGCTCTGACCCCACCTACTGGTCAGCTGCAGGAAATTACCTAATCTGTCACCTGTAAATACTGTCCTCCCCTTCCTGTCTTTGCCCAAGTATAGGATGTCCTGTGTGCATCCTGGCTGTTATTGTCTGTGCTATATTGGATTCCTGGTTTATGATCTTCTGCTTGTCCCCCACCTGCCTTCGGATTACCCTTTTGTACCGTGCTTCTGTTTGTTGCTGACCCGGCTTGGACTTTGACTCTGCTTCTTCTGGACTACACTTTGGACCTGTTGCCTTCGGTTTGTTGCTGACCCAACCTGCATTCTGACGCTGAATTCCCATTTCCTTTGGTACTGCGCAATTCTAATTACTGGCTACGGACCCTGGCTGACTCCATACTATGAATAGTTCCTTTCATTATGATTGTATTGCTGGTCCTGTTCTGCCTACACCTTGCTCATCGGGTCTCTGCATATCCCGGCTGCGAGATTCCCATCTATCTCTCCATCTGACACTGGGATAACGAGACTACCGGTCAGGAAATTGGAGTGACGGGCGGGACTTCTTGGCAGGCCTAACAATAATCTTTTTACCAACACTTGGCTAACTATGTAACTATATGAAAGGACTAAAAGTATTCAAAGAAGGAGAGATTCAGAATGAAAAAGAATGGAAACATTACTGACGCTGACGTTCCCCACGATTGTCGACAATATCTACACACACAGACAAGGCAATTTAATTTGTTTTAACCCTTTCGCTGCCAGCGCAGTATCCCTTATGTCACTGGATGTGGGCCCCTGTAAGCAGTCTCAGGGCGGCTAAAGAAAAGCAGAACGAACTAAATTGAGTTCTTTAGCTAAAAGGTTCAACTGTTTGTAAAAGAGAACAATGAAGAAGACGGATGAAAACCATTTTCTGGAGTATAGGAAACTTCCTCTGGTATTAACAAAGGGAAGCAGATGGTCGTCCAATGATGTCCCAACCACGGTTGGAACCACCATCACTGGAATCCAGCGAGGAAGTCCATTCATTGACAAATCCCTATTCAGGGCCGGATTTCCCACAAGGCCACAGAGGCCTGGTCCTCAGGGCATCAGGGAACAGAGGGGCGGCAGGGGTGTGGAATCTCCCGACGCCCGGGACATGGAGTTCCGGGCGCCGGGCGGGTAGTTGTTTTCTACATTTAGCCCGGCTTTGCCAAGATCACTGGTATGTAGCCTGCAGATCCGTCCTCCCTGCCCCTACCTCTGTTCTTGCTGGCTCCATCCTCCCCCCGCCCACCAAGAATCTTTCCTCGCCGGCCAGAGATCCTCAGGATGGAGAGCGGGGAGCAGAGCGGAGAACGTCTGTTCTCTGCTCCGTGTAAACCAGGGATGTCCAAACTCCGGACCTCCAGCTGTGGTGAAACTACAAATCCCATGAAGCATTTCTCTCCGGGAGTCATGTCTGTGGCTGTGAGAATCTTGCAAAACCTCATGGGATTCGTAGCTCCACCACAGCTGGAGGGCCGCAGTTTGGACATCCCTGGTGTAAACAGTGAAAGGGGAGATCTGCACTCGCAGCCTTCCCCTCTCAGCTGTCACAGGAGAGCCAGCACAGTGTTGTGCTAGAACTCCTGTATTGGAGGTGACAGGTTCAATAAAGAGAACCTGTCACCTCCAAATGCTATCACACAGAGGTTTGTTAGCTCCTGCGTGCTAGCAATAAAGTTAAATAAAAAAAATAAGTAAATAATAAATAAGTAATAATAATTAAATTAAGAAAATAAAAAGGTGATAAAAAAGTAAAAGATAAGATAAGTAAAAAGTAATAAAAAATAATAATTAAAACAATAAAAAAGTGATAAAGAAATAATAATAATAATAATAAAGCAACAATAAAAAAATAATTGACAAAAGGAGGCAGAACATCACTTTCTTCTTTGTTGTATACTTTCCCTTTCAGGGTGGACATAAAATACATTTAAAGGGTTTCTAAACCCTCCGGTGTTCTTTCATATATATAAGGCTAGCGAGCAGTAGATATATGCAAAAAGTTAAAAAAAAAAAACGCTTTACCAGCGGTTTAAACTTACCCCTGTCTTCGCCCCGTGCTCCCGTCCCAAAATGCGAAACTGCTCAGGCGGCCGCAAAGCACCTTGGGGCGGGCGCATGCGCAGTTCGGATTTTTGGCCGGGAGACGAGGAGAGACGCAAGGTAAGTCTATGGACGGCGTGCACCCGCATGCAGACAGCGTGGGATCGGAAGTGCCGGCAGGGACAGAGGAGTCGGCGCTGGATCGGAGACCCGCCGCAGCACTGGAGGGACAGATGAAAATGACAGGAAAGAAGATCGGATTAAGAGACATCATTTAAGGCCTTGGTTCTCAACTGGTGGGTCCTGACCCAAAAGTGGGTCCTGACCCAAAAGTGGGTCGCGACCCCGTTTTCAGTGGGTCGCCCCGTGCCTTCCACGTTTCTTAGGTGAGAGGCTCCTCTGCCTCCCCCTAGCGCAGCGCTGTCAGTTCTCGTGCCAACCAACCATTCAAACTATGCTGCCCGATGCCGAGTGTCAGCTTAGGTTGAGGTGGGGTGGGATGGGGCTATGGCTGCGAGGGAGCTCCATACATATGTGCATTGCTTACAGCTCCCTCACGTGTCCTATAGAGGTGCCATGGTGACATCACATTCTGGCTCCCGGCACCTCTACAGGATGCGCAAGGGAGCTGTACAAGCAAGGCACATATGGATGGAGCTCCGTCACAGTTCAGCAGATTGGGTCTGTGTTTACGTATGTTTGTCAGTGTTTTTGAGGGCCCATTCACACTAGTAGACTGCGTTAATCGCATAGTACCTTGCGATTTAACGCACTGTACTATGCAATCGCACTTACCGTGCATTCTGGTGTGGGAGGGGTGTTAAGTTGCCATACATTTGAATGGTTCCCCTAAACGCCCCTCCCACCCACAGCTCCAACGCCCACACCGGAATACGAGGTACCCTAATTCCGTGCATTCCATTGCAGTGCGACTTGGGTCGCACCTTACTGACCAAAGACAGATGTGGGTCCTGAGGTTACAGAGATTGAGAACCACTGATTTAAGGTAAGTGCTGACATTAACATTGGGGGGAGGGAAAAAAAATGTTTTGACTTTAATGTCACTTTAAGGTCTTTTCCAGATCTCTGGTATCTGGGCCAAAAAAAGCCTGATCCGCCTCAGAATAATGTGACTCCCTCGGGAATTTTCCTCTTTCTAATAATAATAGCTTCTAAAGTTTCCATAGCACGTCTCCAAATCAGCATATCATTTATCACTCTCGAAGGATGCCATTTGTTCCTGCGGTTTCTTAAGAGCTTCCATACTTCTGAAGGCTGAGAGTCCTAGCATACTGCAAGCCTTAGGCCTTGTTCACACACGGTTCAACTTCTATAAGAGTAACGCATACAGCAAGCTTTGTAAAGATCTCAGCCAGCTTTTAGGTACCACGCATGTCAAATACTGAAACATCCCCTCAATCCCCTGATTCATCCAAGTCTGCAGGAACCAATCAAACATGCATCCTTGACCGGACACACATCATTGCAGCCTCCAACCTCCTGCCCCTTCTTACTGACCTTCAGCAGCTTCTCCTTCCTCCTGGTCCACTCCTCCCAGTGTGTGACAATGCGTCCCCATAACTCCCAGCTGTCCTGGTCCAAAGGTTGTGGCCCCGGGGAGGTGACGCTGGTCCTGCAGGATCCAGTAACACTTCGCAGAGACTTGGAGTCAGCTTCTAGGAGCCTGTGACACACAAATTGCAACGTTAGTCAATATCCCACCTCAACCTAACCACTGAACCATCACATTCTCAAACAATTCATCCCCGCACAGCTACCTCCTCATGTATCACTTCCCCCTCCTCTTTCAGATTGCAAGCCCTCAGGGGCAGGGCCCTCCTTACCATCCTGTCTTGAATTGTATTGTAATGTCTTCCTTACATTGTAAAGTGCTGCGCAAACTGTTGACGCTATATAAATACTATGTAATAATAATAATATTAAATAGTAGGGTTGCACAGATACCAAGTACAGTACTCGGTACAAGTACAGATACGTTTGAGCTCCAAGACTACACTAGAGCAAAATTCAAAAGTTAGGAGGCAGCTGTCATTTGTAAGGAGCACACGGAGCTCCCGGGATTTGTACATCTCTGTTTTAATGTATGATTTTGTTTTTATAAACATATATAAAGGGATGCACCGATACCAGTTTTGCGAGTACGATTACTGGTACTTGCCGAGTACTTACAAGTACGAGTACTGATACATTTTTGTTTATTGTCATGTGACAGTTTTTCTAAAACAATACAGACTAATGATTTCAGGACAGTGGTGGAGCGCCAGAGCCCGGTCCCAGCTGCAACCTCCGCAACCCTGGGAGTTCTCATGAAAATGCCAAGTATCTGCACCGGTACTGGAAAAGTATCTGAGCATCCCTATTAAATAGTGTGCCTAATATGTATTTTAGTTATAAAACAATAAAAAATGAGTCCCCTTTTTTATAATATCCAGAAAAAGAACTGCTTGTATTGGCCATAGCAGCCAAGATTTTGACTTGTTCCTAATTACTAAGAAGAGAACCTGGCTCGTGTACATGGGCATTCCCAGTTGATGATGGCCAGGACTTGAAACATTTTAGGGTGTCTCACCAGTCAGTTAAAAGCTTCACCAGTCAGCATGACCGGAATATATCCTTGCAGTTTATGTTAACATTTTTTAGGGACACATAGAGCTTCCTTTTGGAGGTATGTAATCACCACTGGGGAGGGGGGGAGTTATTTTTGACATATAATGAAAAAAGTACCGTAAACTTCGGGGGAAAAAAAAAATTCCCCCTACGTTATGTTAAAAAACATTTATTCTTACCCATATTTTTGGTGAAATATAAAAGACGGGGTCATGTCGGGTAAATAGACACCAAACAAGTGAAGTGTAAAAATTGCACGCGCCGGCAAACTCGTAAAAACAGACCACACTGAAAATTGGCCATAAGCGACGCTTTAAAAGCTTTTGCAGCTCATCAGTTATCAGTGATTGATGGCCCTAAAATGATTGCTCTCACTGCGACGTTCGCGGCGATATGTAACATGTGCGACGTAATGGGCGCATGTTTGCGTTTGTATGTGGGGTGCGGGGGGACTTTAAAAAAAAAATTCGTGTTTTTTTTATAACAAAGTATTTTATTCGGTTTCCATAGTAAAAGAGACATTGCATATAGGGTTCAATACAGTCGTGTTTTTGTAATTTTTTTATGCTTCTTTCTTTTTTTTTTATTACTGTTTTTTTTTTTGCACTTAACTTTATTGCCATCACATGGGAGGCTAAGAAGCCCCCTATGTGATAGCCAATTTACATGACAGGTCCTCTTTATGGAGACAACAGGGGTCTCCAAGACCTGCTTCACCAGCTTCTAAAGCTGGAGAGTGACAGCTGAATGCAGGAAGTGATATAATATACATCACTTCCTGCATGAGGGGACCGGAGAGGAGATCAGAGGGAGATCGTGTACCGATCTCCTTCTGATCCCGTCACAGAGCAACCGTGCCGGGCACAGTGTATCACGGGTACGGCAACGGCAGTGACAGCTGCTGCTAATACAAGCGATTGGGCGTCTCTAGAGACACCCGATTGATTGAATGTAAAGCTCCCGGACGGCCGGGAAGCTACTCGTCTCGCGGATTTTTCAAGCCCTGATGATGGCAAAAACATTCCGAAGTGCACACATTGTAATAAAACACATACAATTTGATGCCATTTATTATACATTACAGATTGTGAACTTGGATGCCTTGTTAAATCCCAACTCCAGGTCGGGGACAACACCCCCACCCTAGTCCTCTGCCCCAACCGTTGAGCACACCCCCCACATCAACTCTCTGATCACATGATGAGCAGGGTCCCCTATCTACTCTTCTTCCCTCCGGCAGTGGGCAGTACTTATTGTGCAATAGTACTCTGATCCCAGGTCGGCGTGATGACACACTATGTCCATGGGCACACAGGAAATGGGTTAAACCAGCGGTCGACAACCAGTGGTCCATGAGACAATTTTGGTGGTCCCCGGGCCCCTCCGATGCCGTGCAGGCTGGGCCGTCATTGAAGCGGCATGGAGGCTCCGGGGCTGCCTCTCACTGACTTAACTAATATATGAGAGAGACTCATTACATGCAAAGCAAGATAGTTCAAGCCGTGATTTGTCATCATTGTGATGATTATGGCTTACAGCTCATGAAAACCCCAAATCCACAATCTCAGAAAATTTGAATATTGTGAAAAGGTGAATATTCCCGGCTCAAAGTGCCCCACTCTAATCTGCTAATTAAGCCATAACACCTGCAAAGGGTTCCCGAGCCTTTAAATGGTCTCTCAGTCTGGTTCAGTAGGAATCACAATCATGGGAAAGACTGCTGGCCTGACAGTAGTGCAGAAAACCATCACTGACACCCTCCATAAGGAGGGAAAGCCTCAAAAGGTCATTGCAAAAGAAGTTGGATGTTCCCAAAGTGCTGTATCAAAGCACATTAATAGAAAGTTGTGTGGAAGGGAAAAGTCACAAGGAGTGGACTGAGGCTGGAGTCAGTGCACGCATGCACGTTCAGCATTGCGGTCATCGGAAGCCCGCCCCTCAGGGGACAGAAGTAAGCTGTGTAAACCGGGGTGCAGATTCCACTGGTGACATGGATACTGGGCAGGACGATCCCTATAATAAGGCAGCCTGATTTGGGAAATGAGCTGTGCGTGCGTGCGTGCTATGCTCTCCAGGTACATTTCCAATTTGGGGCAGTGGAACAGGAAGTTGCAATCTCTTGAATTATTTTTATTACAATTTAATATAAGGTTATGGAGAATACAACAGCGTGTGCTGAAACATGCAAAGATGGGTTGGAACACCAAGGGCCGGATTTACTCTCTCTGCTGCCCCAAGGCCAGGTTCCTCAATGCGCCCCCCTAACCGCCAACCCCCCCCCCCTCCTGGAGGATGGCAGACCTGCAGGCTGCATACAAGCGGTGGCTTCCTCGCTGTACATTTAGCTCTGCTTGCCCAAAGCAGGGCTAAATGTATAAAACAACTACCCGCCCGGAGCTGCATGTAACCATCCATCTACTCCCTGCTGCCCCGGGGGTCGGGCCCTGGTTCGGCCTTGTGGGAAATCCGGCCCTGGGAACACCAACAATCTGCAGAAGTGGGCAAAGGCGGGCTATACCAAAAACAGGGTCAGTGATCATGGCAGGGAAATCTCAATGTCGGAGTATCAAAAATATACATGAAGCTATGAGCCGACTAAGCCCACCATGTTTAATCTATAACTAAAATTAGATAAATCAGTAGAATGATCCTTTAAAACATGTAAACTAGGAGCAGAACATAAAGCCAAGAACCTACAAGTGTCTGCAAACACCATCAGATGTCTTCCAGGAGTCCTAAAACTTGGGGTGTGCCATTATACAAGTCTTACAAGTCTTCAGCAGTTCTCTTGGTCAAGGCTTGTGGGCCCAACCCCACCACTCCTTACTACTGGTCACTGAGGCAGCAGTCATAGGTTTGTATTAAACGGAAGAACTTTTTGGTACTATGGCCTACAGTGGAGAAAGATACATAACTAACTAAATGGGGAACAAGCGTACGCAGTAGGTAGTTGAGATTTGCAGTGTTTCAGGGCTCCTCGTGCTCTTCGGAAGACGTCAAATGGGATTTACAGATACCTCTAATCCCTTGGTTCTCAAATGGGTCGCGACCCCATTTTCACTGAATCGTGGCATGCCTTCCACTTTTCTAGGTGAGCGGCTCCTCTGCCTCCCCCTAGCACAGCACTGTCAGTTCTAGCGCTGAGCAGCCATTCAAACTATGCTGCCCCCCGTGCCGAGTGTCAGCTTGAGGTGGGCTGGGGCTATGGCCGTGAGGGAGCTCCAACTATACATGCATTGATTACAGCTCCCTCACGTGTCCTGTAGAGGTGCCACGGTGACATCAAATTCTGGCTCCCGGCACCTCTACAGGGAGCGCAAGGGAGCTGTACAAGCAAGGCACATATGGATCACAGTTCAGCAGATTAGGTCTGTGTTTACGTATGTTTGTTAGTGTTTTTGAGGGCCCATTCACACTAGTACACTGCGCTAATCGCATAGTACCGTGCGATTAACGCACTGTACTATGCAATCGCACTTACCGTGCATTCTGGTGTGGGAGGTGTGTTAAGTTGCCATACATTTGAATGGTTCCCCCAAACGCACCTCCCACCCACGCACCGGAATACGAGGTACCCTAATTCCGTGGAGCTCTGACACAGCACAACAGCCCCCACTGGACACCAGACTGAGGATCCACTCCAGTTCTCATAAGGTAGAGAGACTGGGTGGACCTTAAAAAAAATGTCTTTGGAGTGTGTTTGTGTGTCAGAATGTCGGTGAGTGTGTGAGATTGTTGCAGTGTTTTTGAGGGCCCGCTCACACTAGTACGGTGCATTAAGCACATAGTACCGTGCAATTAACGCACTGTACCACGCAATCGCACCTACCACGCATTCTGGTGTGGGAGGTGTGTTGCGTTGCCATTCATTTGAATGGCACCCCAAATGCACCTCCCACCCACAGTTCGTACGCCCGCACAGGAACGCGCGGTACCCTAACGCCCTGCGGTCCATTGCAGTGCGACTTGGGTCGCGACTTAATGACCGAGGTCAAATGTGGGTCCTGAGATTACACAGGTTGGCAACCATTGCTCTAAAACCTGCACTGATTGACA